ATACGAATACTTACGCTTGTTGACTCGAATTAGTCCGAACAATCTTGTTTTAAAATTTTTGATTAAAAAATTAATTTGATGTTTCTAGATGCGTGTATAAAAAAGTTGGATTTATGTCACAATAAAATGTGAAATATCTTGTAAAATTCCGTTTTCTCAATTAAATTATTCTAATTAAAATTTTATATATAATAAGTATATAAATTATAAATAAAAAGAATAAGTATATAAATTAATTTATATAAATATCATGTTTTCATTTATACATATAAAAGAAGTATGGTTTTTAAATCTTAGAGATGACTCCAATTAAAACAAAATAAACTAACCATAAGACAAATCTTTTAAAATAGAATGTTTGATCCAAGACATTTTTTATATTTTTAATAATAACGAAAATTTTAAATATCTAAATTAGGTAAAACCTTATCAATATATGTTATACAATATCAAATTGTTAGTTTAAACATATTATCAATAATATTCCTTTATTTCATGTTATATATATGCCATGTGTAATCTAAAAATGTGGATAAAACTTTTTAGAAGTTTTTTATGTTTAATAATAATTTTTTAAATACAAATTCAAGTCTCATTTAGTGTATCAATAAGTTAAGTTATATCTCATATAATACTAAATCAACTGATACAAACAAATTGTGAATTATATAACATGACATGTAACAATAAATTGATCAAAAATAATCTAACCCTTCATGGTCACATTGGGTCAAAATGACCCGAGCATCGTCTTTCACACTAAATTCTAATACATGTTTACGACTTTTTAATACATGTTTACGACGTGTTAAAATTAAATTTTTCACAAAAACGCCACTGTTCCATTTTCTTAAAGGATGAAATTATATACTGTATTTTTTTAAATCATTGCAATTAATACTGTCGATTTGGTAACACTTTAAAGATCAGGTCGGGTCATTTTAACCCAGAGTAACCATCGTGTGGCTTTTTAGAAGTGTAACCATGAAGAATTAAAACAAGGCCAATGAGAGTTCAGCACGGTTAACGAAGCGCAAATATATTTGTGCTTCATTAGCCGCGCTGAACTCTCATTAGCCTTATTTTAATTAGTTTGAGAGTCCACTGTAAGATATGTAATAAATTGATATATATTAATATATATAGGCTCACACAATTCAAATATTAGTAAAAATAGATACACGATAAGAGAAGGGAATATAAAAAAGATACTAAAGATATGTATATATAAAGAAAACGACATGGTATATTAACAATGAAATAAGAATACACCGCTGACATGTATAATTAGTTTACAATCAACATTTCCAATCTTAAAACATAACATTTTTCTTATTCAATTAGACTTCTTAGTATATTTTGTCACATGATATATACATTTATTATTACTGATGTACTCTATAAGCAGAGATTCTTAGGTTTAATCGTTGCATATTAATTTCATAGCTTGGAAATCAAATTTTCTCATAAAACATGATCCAAAAAGGCGTAGAAATCATTCTTACTTATTCGAGCATAGCACCAATTACATCCGATACAGTCACTTTGCTTGATACAAATAATACAAACATTATTTTTTTAATTTTAAATTAAAGGGAAAAACTATTAATAAATAACATAAATACAAACATATGTAATAAACATTAACAATAATCAACATATAATTATAAATATTGCATTCTATACACGATATAACTATAATTATTTTTAAAATTACTAGCTCAATAAAAAAAGTGGTATATTTTTATAATTATTTGACACGAAAGTTAATGTATAATCTTTAATAGACTATCCTACATTTAAAGCATACGATTATATAATTATATATATTTTTTCTTGTCTATTTTGTGAAAAATTTATGTGGAGACTGTATCACGATGGTAACGGAAGACATTATTCTCTTATACTTTTACACATACCGCGCTCATATTGATAAATCTAGCAAAAGAAGATATTTACTTCGATACTATCGAGATAACACAAACATTTAACAGATATACAATTGTTAAGAAAACGGTTTTATCTTTTAAACAACTTTTAATCATTTGTATTGTCTGAATGCGTATGAAATGCAGAAAGAAAGGTCTATGTCTCATCATGTGAATAAATATTTTTATAGAATGTTTTGATTATAATGCACAATGACAAATAGGAGAGGCTTAAAAATTGGGCATGTATATTGATGCAGTGCACATTTTCTATTATATATATAAATGGACTTCGGTCTTTTCACGGCACTTAGGTAGAATTTATTTTAAAGGCTTCTTTTGACTAATTTGAAGCTGTACCAAATCTACAAATTTATAGCATCTCTTTAATTTGTTTCATTATTATGAGTATCATATTGACAGATTTTATATAAAATGTATGAAATATTTTTGTATGACTGAAAAGACCAGTCAGTCATGTGAGTATTTTTTTAAATCTTTTATTGTGTGTGTGTGTGTGTGTGTGTGTGTGTGTTCGTGTAGGTGTATTTAAAAGAAATATACTTAAGTTTTATACAGCAATAAATAAATATTAAAATATCAGAATATAATTTTAAAAAACAAATAATAAAATTCCAATTGAGTAATACGCTTTTTTAATACAATGAAAAACCATGTAATACTGCATTTTGCTATCAATCTATATATGTATATATAAATTTTTTATCTAAAGATATCTTTTTATATCTCTACTAGTTAGAGATATATAACTGTTAATTAACTTAAACCAAACACGCTGTATATATATATATATATATATATATATCTAAATATTTTAAGTTTTATATTAAAGCTGATACAGCATGCCATTATTTATTATAATTAAGATATAGTTTAGCAAAAAATTGATATAATAGATTTACTCTTTATTTATTACGTTAACATAAGACGGAAACCACAATTGTTGTCGAAAACCTACACATACTCTATCTGAAGAAACATACTTAGATCTTCTCTTCTGAATTATCACTTTTGATAACTTGCTACATATACACATACGCACACGCACGCATGCACACACACATATGTATATGCATATATATTTACTTATGTGAACGTTTTTATCTTATGTATCTCATTTTTACTTTACTGTGTATGCGTACACTTTTGCATTTCAATCTAATAGGATACTATCAAGAGACAATTGTCTAATAGAATACTATCAACAGACAATTGTCTAATAGAATACTATCAAGAGACAATTGTCTGCATTTATATTTTACGTGCACATATTTCGGCCTGCCGGAATTCTTATTTACATCGCATAATTTCAATAAAACGAAAATGCCACTTAGAATTGCATCTCCAATACCGAACGCTTTTTGGTAGATATCATGACTAACATTACATAAAATATTTTACATAAATTTAAATTTAAAGCATCGCATATTATACATAATTATTAGTGATCCTTATGGAAGCCGTGTGTATTGTATGCAAATGTTATGTTTCAAATATTTAGCACAAATGGATATAGAGTATCGGCAAATTTTCTTTTTTTTTTTTAGCATGAAATCAATTACCTATCATTTTCTTCGATATAACTCTATATGTACGGATGTAATGCCAATGCTCTGCCGCGTAAACCTTTTTGACCTCCAACACCTCCCTTTGGTATAACATATCCTCCCGCATGTCTCGCTGTACCCTCTTCCTCTAAGTTGCCATTACTTTCAATCAAATCGCGTAAGGGCCAACAAGCCAAGTGACGCGATTTACCGTGACGTGCCAGAACGTGATATCCTTGTCTAAAAATATTAACATTATAATAATTTTTTTCTGTTCACTTTGAAATATATACTTTATATATATATTATATATATATATATCATAATAAAATTAATTAATGAAAATAACTGAATTAATACATTTAATATAAAACCGACACATTTTCTTTATATATGACAAATGTTTTTCAAAAGAAAAATAGGAAAAATCAAATTTGAAATTCAGATAGAGTACATCATGAAGTTCCTCAACTATAAATTATACCTGGAAGAGATTAGACCTACAAGCAATGCCCAATGCGCTTTATGACCTTTTTTTAAACATGGAGCGTGGTTGAAGTCAGAATCATATGGTATCAACACCATTGCTCCATGTGCTAAAGCATGAGTTAATGTGTCTGGACACTGTTGTAAATCTACTAAAATATCTGGTTTGTGATCAGGTAAATATTCCGCAGCCAATGTCCCCATGAAATCGACACTGTATACTTCTCCATGCTGTGTAAACCCCCGAACACGAGCTTCAGCGAGAAGTTGATTCACAGAAACTGGTTTTGTGTATTCTTGCGATGCCATGGAAAGCGCCACTAAACCACACCTACAAAGCATTTAATACTTGACAATTATACAATTTCAAAAAGTACAAAAATATTAATTAAATGTAAACTAAATGTATTATAATTATGAAATAGAATTGATACAATTGCAAATAAGAAAAAAAATTACATCCTTTTTTTCTCTTTTAACATAGAAGAATTACATAGTATTTTAATCGGTATTTCTGATAAGACTCACTAAATACATTAAAATAATACTCACTGTGGTCCATCTTGAAGAATTGGTTCTACTTGACAGAAGTAAGTTACCTCTGCGTCTTTCAACTCATTTCGTGAGATCAGCTTTTCGATTTCAGCTTCTGCAGATGTAAGTGTGATTTTGGCCCAAGGGGGCAGAGAATCGGTATCATTGACTTCCGTTTTCTCACACATAGGTATTTCTGGCAAGCTAGAGAGGGTCGGGGATGGTGCTGGCATTTCTCAATGCCAAAATGCAAATAAATAATCGTTGAATTTGATATAAAAAGATATATAAATGTTTTAACAGCTAAGAAATGTCACCCACAGAATGCAAGAAGTCTTGTTTGTATCATTGCTCACAATGACTTTGACAACATTCAAAAGGAATATTTTTTGTTCATTCTAGAAAGTCCCTTGGAATTTCCTGCAAGATTTACAAAAACATAACTCACACAATTATATCTTGTAAGATTTAATTAGATTCGAATACAATTTTAATTTTAGAAAGCACACACATTGTTACTTGCAACTGGAATTCTTGAATTATTCTGTTATTTGAGACTATATTATATACAGGATAATCTAGAGGGAGGAGCATTATCGAAGTACACTTTTTACGATTGTCAAGTTGTTTAACGCTAAAATATTTTACGACTACGAATACGAACATAATTATTAGCACGATAATATAATCAGATAATATAATAAATATACAAAGACAATGTCAATACGTTTTACAAGTTGAAAATCGAACGTACTCTTCGAGAGATTTCTAACAGTTGTAACTTTTAAGGCAGCGCATCGCACAATCAACGTGAAAAGAAACAATAATCAATTCCTAACGGGATATAAATGTATTAAGCCAAGAGATCTCGATGCTAATTACGAGCGCAAGCAATGCAAACGATGCGAAAGCTAGTTTTCGGAGAGAGGAAACGGGTTGACGATTTTTATTTATCATATAGCGACGAGATGATGTTACGCCTGGTTGCGCCGTATGACTTTGACATTTGCACGTCCCGTTCGTCCCCTCCCCCTTCTTGCCGCACAGTTCACGCCGTGTGACAAATCGTGACTCATGCATATGCATACATTATGTAATTGATAATTCCGCGATGGGAGACAAATGGGAGAGTACCAACACATTAGCATGCATTCATATCACGGCTTACGCTTCAGCGCTTCAGTGTCGCGTGAGTTCGTACCAATGCTTTAACCGAGACACGTCAACTCGAGGCTTTGCAATTATGGCTTTTCAAAGTCCCATGATAGAGCCGCCGACGAAGACCCTTTCGAACACGAGTGTGGCGTTAAGCCCTACTCGCAGACGTCCGTCGTCGACTGGCGTCGACGATGATCGACGAGTAGTCGCAAGTAGTCTACGAACGACTACGGCCACAGAGTCTTCTGAAAATATACACCAGTGTACGATGTACATACATACGTCATGCATGCACGACGCACGCACACGCGCGCGCACGCGCGTATATGTATATACTCTCTGATAAGATCTCGTGATATGACACGTGAAACGAGACGATGGCTCATGCTGAATTCACCCTGCATCCGATTTTCGTCGTACGACGCTC